AAAAAAAAAAGTAAAAAACAAATATAATACATGTCAGCATAATTAGGTTAAAATAACAAAATTTGCAGTCGTCAGGCCACACAGATACCACCAATTCATTAAGCTGGCTGCCTAGCACAATATATCAGTCAATTCGTATTTAAATCAAAACTTCAAAACGACAAAGTAAGGTCAATTTGCAGAATATTTAAGTATGTCCTGAGAAATAACAGGATAGAAAAGTAGCTCAAGACAATAAAGAACAGATAAATTCTTTTTGGATAGGAATAAGAAGGATTAAAGAACGATAAAGAAAACGTACCACATAATCCCAACCATGTTTCTCGGCAAATGCCCTTGCAGCTTCTTCACTATCAAAACTTAGTGCAGCATCACCAACATTGGCATATGGATCCCCAGTCGATGTCCAACCCATAAGTGGGTTCTCCCACCTTCAAAACCCATTTCCAAAATTAACTATACAAAATGTAACCACGGCCATAAAAGATCACATCTGAACAGAAACATTTAGGAGTTGTAGTTCTTTCACACAAACAAAAATGAAAAGAAATGTTCCAAAGAGAGCTCAACACAAAAGATCACGATACAAATAGTTGCTAATCCATGAACTGCAGGAATAAGAACACAAATTTGTACTTTCTGACAGGAAAAAAAAACTGTATGCTTCATAAACTATCAAGCATAGCCCAGATTTTAATAACAATAAAAAGAAGTGACACTAATATCAGTAGCAGAAGTAACCATCAATACTGTAATACGTCATTTGGGTAGTTCAATGTTTAGATAAATAAACCATAATCACTATAACAAAAATTCAGGAACGCCAAATTTTTTTAAAAAGAAAGTTCAGACTCAAAGACGAAAACTTTAACAAATTTCTAAGCAAAGAGAGACTATTAAAAGCTTCTTACTTTTGTGTGGATACAAAATTGATTTTCCACCTCCCAACTTTCCCTGATCCTTGTTGCGTCGCCGTCCTTGCAGGTGAGAAAATCACAACCTGTAATCCACATCCAACTACTTTTAATTCACAGAAATCACCAAAAAGCATTCCGAAAAATCCCAATTCGAATGCTTTAGGTCACTCCGCGAGACCAAAATCGCAGGAACGAGAAAACTAGGGCATCGAATTTGAGCTGATGAAGAGAGAGGAAAATGGAGAGCCGTACCCTGCGATGGAGGTGTTCTTGGGGAATCCCAGAGACCATGCCGATCTCGCCGGCCTTGATGACCTCTAAGGCGTCGGCGGAGAATGGCCGGGACCCACTGAGGAAGGTCGATCGAAGAGCACTGCCATGGCGAGAGATGCGTCGCA